GGGAGAGCTGAAAAAACAGAGTTAACTAGGATGAGCCTCCCATGGTAAGAAAGGAGATTGCTAATTCCTCCAAGTCTTCTCCCAATTCTAGTGAGTAGTGGGTTGAAGTCTTGATGTTGGGTTTGGTGGTGCCAAGGCAGACCCAAATAAGGCCCTGTTTGGATCCACCAGCTTAACTTTAGCTGGCTAAGGGCTTGTTTGGGACAGGTCCACCAGCTCTAGATCCATGAATTCAGATCCAGATCTAAATTTTTTATCCAAACACCTCTAGCTCCACCAACTCCACTAGTGGATCTGCTCCACCAATTTGGTGGATCTGCGCCTAGATTCTCTAAATTGGTGGATCTCCTCGAGGGGTGCTCCACCAAATCCAAGTTTGATGGAATTGGTGAAAATTACCCACCATGCCACCCGTTACACACATTTGGCTACGAACCGTTATGTTCTTTTCTTTCTCCTCTCGCATCTCCGTCGCGAACACGCCCCGAGCTCGTCGTTGCAAAGACAACGCCGGCGAGCCCGTCTGCCCACGCTATCCACGCGCCACCCCCTTGCCGGCCGCGCTGCCGCGCTGGACCCATGCGCTCCCTCCCCGCGCCGCCACGCGGCCGGCTCTGCGTGCTCCCCTAAGGTCCTCGCGGAGGCAGCCATGGCCACATCGGCTACACGAGCTTCGGCCGTGCCGTCCCCGCACGAGCTCCTCGCGAGAGGCAGCAATGGCTATGCCGCCCCGTGCCTCCGGCCGCAGGAGCCGACAGTCACGCCCCGCCCACCTGCCCACCCTCCCTGTGGCGGTGGAAGCCGCTGGAGCTCCACTGACATGCGCCCGCCCTCCTCCTCCTGCACGTGTCGAGGAAGAAGAAAGACCATCGTGTCTGAGCCGAGGTCGCCCGCCGAGGCCGACTATCGCGCCCCCTAGCCGGTCACGCGCCTGGCCGCTAGGATTTCCCCCCACGCGCCCGAGCCCGAGGAAGAAGAAAGGCTTTGGATTTTTTCCATTTTGCCCCCTGATGCGTGGGACCTAGATGGAAGTGAGATAGAGATAGATGTGGAGCTGTACCAAACACTTCAAGCTCCACCAGCTCCATGGTGGATCTAGGTGAATCCTAAGGAGCTGCTCCATGGTAGATCCAGATGAATCCTAGATCCAGATTCACTTTTTGAGTTGGTGGAGCTGCCCCAAACAGGCCCTCAATTTAGCTGGTATGGATCCAAACATGCCACCTAAACCACAAAAGACCAAAATACCCCTCCCACATTCCTCTAAAAATTCCCTGCGCGACTGCCCAATCGCCGTGTTGGGCCCTGCTGCTTCGCCTAACAGCCGCGAGCCACCATGCCGGGGGTCCCTGCTGCTCCACCCACCCGCCAAATGTCGTCCACTCAGAGGGCCACTGTTGCTCCACCCACCGCCACGATCCACCGCACCGGGGGCCCATGCTGCTTGGCCCGCCTGCCACGAGCCGCCGCGCTGGGGGCCTTGCTGCTTCGCCCGCCCGCTGGTGGAGGCGTCGGGCATGAGGAAGAAAGAGAGAAGGTTAATGAGAGGTGGGAGGGAGGGGTAGGATAGACAAATAACTCTTCAGCTATCATTTAGCTAGTGGATCCAAACATTCCTAACTAAAATTTAGCTGGTTATCCTTTAGCTAGCTAAAAAAAAGCACTAAAGTTTAGCTAGCTAAATTTTAGTTGGGTGGATCCAAACAGAGCCTAAGTGAAAGTCATTGTTCCAATATTGCACCCAAAGGTAGTGCCAGATGTTTAGTCTTGTTCTCATCAACATTGATTGGCATCAAGAAGGATTTGTTAAAATTCACGTGCAAGCCTGTGGAGTAAGAGAATGCTCTTAGGATGCCTTTTAGGTTGAATAACAGTCTTGCTTTTGCTGGTAGAATCAGTAAAGCGTCATCTGCATATTGTAGTATTGGATATTCTCCACCAAAGTCATCACTAAGAGGATGAGACAAAACACCCAGCTGCCAGGCTTTATTGATTATGGACTGAAGCAGGTCAGTTGTTAAAACAAAAAGGAGGAGGAAGAGTGGATCACCTTGCCTTACCCCTCTCTTACAGGTGAAGGGAAATCCTATGACTTGTGGCTTGCGACTCATAGGTGGTTGGCTGGTTGACTTCTCTTGGGGCTTGCAAAAATTCTATAAAACTGGTGGTTGTGACTCCATATTTTTGGACCAATTTGCAAAATTCTATAAACGATTTTCAGCCGCTTCTAGAAATAGATCTGTTTGCTCCCTAACCACCCTATCCTCACCTGTCGGGCTCCCATCTCCATAGAGCACCAGGCCTCCCTCTACCTTACCCATTCTCTTCAAGCACAAGAACCACAATGTGTTTTTAATTTTCCAGTGTAATTGGAGAAGTGATTCTTTTTTGCTTCCCACTAGCATCTGCGCGAGTTTAAGTGTGCTTATATATTTACATGATATTTGTGGTGAAATATATGCATTAAGGTCAAATATATAGGCCAGGAGATATGGCATGGAAACAAAGAAAGTTAAGAGTATATGACATGCTGAGCACATGCCATTTGGCCTCTCTTGAATCCTGATAGCCAGTTTTTATCTTCCATCTTTTGTCTTTCTCCGTATCTTTTGCGTTGTGCACTTGTGCCACATGAAGCAACCTCTCAGTTTTTTATTTTGAACGAACAACCTCTCAGCTGATTTTAAGTCAGAGTTCTGCAGAAGAAACTCTGTTGCTATGTAATGTAAGTAGTCCTCATAATTTTCATAAGCCAATTACATCCAGGGAAACATATGTAAGTTGTCTCTCTCTAACTTCTTGTACTTGTAACACCTTACTTGATCTTGATCAGTTGCAGCCTTGCAGGATCAGAAGGCTATGAATTGTACTTATCTATTTAGTATCTTTGCTCTACTAGTACTACCTACACTACACTGAACAGCACTAAACAGCAATCTGCTGGCTGGCTTCTACACACGGCGCCACACGGCTGGCATAGTGGCACGACATCGCCATGGTGCTAAGGAAAGCCTGCTGTAGCTCGGCAGAGGTGCCTCTCCTGAGCAAACACATGCCGTACTCCATGACCGCCGCGTCGCAGGGGAGCGTGATCCTGCCGTCGCCGCCCGTGAAGCCGAACTCTTCCTGTGACATTTGCAGGAGCTCCCCGAAGACCGCAGTGCTAAGGCACGCCAGCGGCACCTCGAACCGCGCGCCGTCGGCCGTGTACATCGTGCAGTGGCCCTTGCTCGCCACGGAGCTGCAGCACTCGTCGGCTTCCTTTGCTGCCGCCGCCCAGGTGAGGCGCTTCCTCCCTTGTGCAGCCATCCTCTGCCACTTCTTGGCCAGATGAACAATCTTCTTGGCGCTGATCATGGTTGGTTGTTGACTTGTTTCCTTCTTCTTTCTGGATGAAAGCTGGAGAGAAATGACTTCAGTTTGCTGTGTTTTAGTTTGTTTGTGAAGCTGCAAGTGATGATGTTCAGAGGCCACCTGACCCTGAATATATAGCTCACTGGACTGCTGGAGCCAAATGGTTGGGGCGTTGGGCAAGGGACAAGGCCATGAGCACGGTGAGTGCGATGTTGCAAGACGCGTCTGCGGGCACGATTTGGATGAGATTCTAATGGGGGCCTGGTGCCGGTCGTGGTGCGCTTTCGGTGCTTGGATTGGAGATCACCCATGCTGGTGTTGTGGGGAAGCCGCACGAGGACCCCATGTTTGTTGGGACCAACGTGAAGAGTGAGGGCCAGAATTGTTCAGCTGTCAGTTGTGTCGTCAGATACATCGGCATGCCCACAGCAAAATGAGGACCGGAAAGCATGGACTGGGTGTTTCAATCAGATGGATGTGGCACACTGCAAGAATAATAGTAGTACAGAACTGCAAGGAGCAGCTGCGAAATAGAGCTCACATGATGTGCTAGTGATCCAGCTGCAGACCGCAAATTGAAGAGGAGATAAGCTGTCTAGCAAGTTGTCTGTGACGCTGGACAGGCTTAATCCGGTTGCTCAGAGACAATGTGCCGTAGGCACAAAAACTTTCAGATATCTTGTGGCAGAATGTATGACAATTGGTACTGACAGTTTGGACCCAATCTACATGTGGTCTTCATGACCCATGAGGCATTGCAGTATGGCAGCACATTGTGATATCCTAGCAACCCAGACATTGCTACTGGTGCATCCAACAAGTGCCAAACAGATACATCGGCAGATCAGCTTGGGTTTATTTCAGAGAAGATTAATGACGATTTCTTGTTTCCATCAGACTGAAAACAAGGGATGCCCACAGGAAAATGAGGACAGGGAAGCATGGACTGTGTGTCTCAATCAGATGGCAATGGCATGCTGCGAAATAGAGCTCACGTGACGTGCTACTGATCCAGCTGCGGACCTCAAGTTGAAGAGGCGATAAAGCTGTCGAGCAACTTTCAGATATCTTGAGATAGAACATATAAGAATTGGTACTGCCAGTTCGGACCCAATCTGCATGTGCTCTTCATGGTCCATGAGGCATAGCAGTATGGCAGGACATTGTGATATCCTAGCCACTCAGACATTGCTACAGCTTCCGTAATCAAGCAAGAGGCTGACCGGTGGATTGACGCAGGGAACTCTAGGCTAGGTAGTTTAATTCGTGAGTAGTCGCCTAAGCCCAGTCTTTGCTGGGGAGGGCAGCACTGATTGTAAATCATCATTCCGCCCTAGTGCGCCACCTCCACGGGCGTCGTTGTACCTTGAACATTTTCTCTATCTTCGTACAAAGATACGCAAGTTTTTTTGCGTATTCGAGAAAAATAATCAAGAATAATAATGATGCTGAAGAATTGCGCTGAAGAAATTTATTGGCCCGAAGTTAAGCTCTTATGTGCTCAGTGAACAAGAACACTGGTGCTAACTTGCTAATTCGCTACCTTCCTTGATCTTTTACAGGATCAGAAGGATCTGAATAACACCTCTCTTTGTCCTAGTACTATCTACAGTGATGAACTATTACTACAACTTATACAGCTGCAGCTAACAGCAAACTGCCACACACGGCGCCACGTGGTTTGCAGAGTGGCACGACATTGCCATGGTGCTCAGGAATGCTTTCTCGAGCTCCGCAGAGGCGCCCCTCCTCAGCAAGCACAAGGCGTACTCCATGACCATGGCATCACAGGGCAGTGTGATCCTGCCGTCACTGCCCGTGAAGCCGAACTCCTCCTTGGACATCTGCAGGAGCTCCACGAAGACTGTCGTCCCGAGGCACGCCAATGGCACCTCAAACCGTGCCCCGTCAGTCGTGTACACTGCGCAGTGGCCTTTGCTCGCCACAGAAGTGCAGCACTTGTCTACTTCCTTTGCTGCCGTCCTCCAGGTAAGGCGCTTCCTCCCAAGAACTGCCATCCTCTGCCACTTCTTGGCCAGCTGAGCGATCCTCTTGGTGCTGATCATATTCATGGTTAGTTCTCTTTCTTGGCTGGAAACTGGAGAAGTGGGGAGCTCTGAGTTGAGAACTTGAGATTGTGATGCTGTTCTGAGGCCACTTGACCTGAATATATAGCGCACTCGAACTCGACCAGAATGGTTGGGCAAGGGACAAGGCCATGAGGACGGTGAGTGCGATGTTGCAAGGTGCGTCTTCGAGTACGCGCAATGCCGATTTGGATGAGACTCTGATGGGGCGAGTGTTTGGTGCGTGATCGGGCCGGTGGCGGTGCTGACTGAATGCTCATGGTGTGCTTGCTTTCGGTGCGGACTGCAAAGAATCCGTGCTGGCGTGCCATGCCGAGCGGTGTCGCTGGGAAGTGGCACGAGGACCCCATGTTTGTTGGGGCCAACGTGGAGCATGAGGGCCAGGGTTTGTTCAGCTGTGCCGTCAGATACATCAGGCAGATCAGCTTGGGTTTAATAAAGTTTAAACAAAAGAGATGGCCCATGCGCCTCTTAGCAACTAGCAAGTATGAAACAGGTCAGTATGGCAGCACGTCATGATATCATAGCACCAAACTGTTGTTTGATCAAACTGCTTTGCCGCCAAGGTTGCTTGGTCTTTCCAGGACGGATGCTTTGCCACCACTGTTGTTTGAAGCTCGCCTCGTCACCATTGCGGTTTCACTACACTGTTAGCTACCATTGTGTAATAGGCTCAGTCGGTTGGGGTCTTGAGGTAGAGGGTCTCCCACACCCTTGTATTTTCTTGCTTGTTTGTGTCTGTGGATTGCGTGAGTAATCTTGGATTACTTGCGGGTCCTGTGTAACGTTTAAACTCTACTTCTGCTTAATGAAAAACGTGCCATAAGGTACGATCTCGAAAAAAAATATATCATAGCACCAAACACAGGTGCAATTGTGGCAAGTGCCAAACAGATATATATGGCCCTAGAGAAATCTAATCAAAACCTCAGTACCTCACATTGCTTCTGCTCGCAACACTGCATGTTCTGAGCTCATGGCCTTGCATCTTGCCTGTTTGAGATGGTGATTGCACCTGTCTGCATCGTCTTCTCTTTGCCCTGACCTATAAATCCATCAGCTTATAGCACCAATACAGCAATACTTCATCAGCCCATCAGCAAGCTAAGCACAACCACCTTATACAATTAAACTGAAATTCTCTGAATATTCAGCCAAAAAAGCAGGAGAAGCAACCATGATCAGTGCCAAGACACTTGTTCAGATGGCAAAGAAGTGGCAGAGAATGGCTGCCCTGGCGAGAAAGCGGCTGACGGCGACGCCGGGGAAAGAAGCCGCCGATGGTTCGTGCAGCGCATCGACGTCGGTGGCCATCAAGGGGCACTGCGTCGTGTACTCCTCGGACGGGAGGCGATTCGAGGTCCCGCTGGCATATCTCGGCAGATTTTTTTTTTAATTTTAACACTTTTTGAAAACTAATTTTAAATCTAACGTCTTCGATTTTTTAAAAAAAACTAACACTTTTGACCGCGTCTATTGCCCTGGCGCGGCCAAATGCCTGTGCCGCGCTGCATGGTGGCGCGGCACAGGGCTAACGTGGCGGCGACCAGAAGCGCTGACCGTTGACGGGGCAAGGCCTGCCACGCCAACGATCTTGGTGCGGCAGTGCCACGCCAGGGGTCATGGCGCGTCTGGGCCAAATAAAACCCCGCGGCCTGTCATGCCAGCCCGAGCAGCAAGCCTGCCCGTTGCGCCCGCCGCCAACCCGGCGGTACCCTGGACGGTTTAATCGGAACGCGTCGTGCCGATGGTGGGAGTTATTGTAAGCATTGTTTGACGTAAAATGAATAGTGAATTTGTTTCTATATTTTGTTAAATTTTTTCAAGGCCGAATAGAGAAATTGATATTTTTTCCGTCTTGCATAATACGGTTAACCACCATGTTAACTAATCGATTACGAAAAAATGGATCGAATTGAAACGAATATTTTTTAAGGGAACGAATTTGGCTTTTTGGCCCCATATTGTAGGATCGGCGGCGATGCGACCATGGACCCCGGCTTCCTCGACCCCTCGCGTAAGACGCCGGGCACCGATGTCGAGATACCCTGGGACTGTCTTTTTTGAACTAGTTGCTACTTAATCTCGCAAGCAGTGATGTCACGACGCATTGAAACGAATATGAAACAAATAACATAAGTTGACAAGCTGCCACATAAGTTTGACTTAAGTTCGACATAACATAACCAAATAAGCCTGCAAGTTTCGGACCCCAATAATAGTTGGACCTAACAAACTAAGACCCAGGAGTGTAAGGATTCCTCGGACGCCTCTGTCTCTTCGGATTTGTTGACAATACATTGGGAGTGTAGCCAACGTCGGTGTGGTCGCGTCGCCGGTGCGTATGGCTCGTACTCTGTAAGTATGTGATATGCACGATTACTTAGAATTCTTTGTGATCGTTAGTTCATGTAGCCTACGTATTTAAAGAAACTACCTTTGTTAGTACCTATGATGCTCCTTGGGTGCCAAGCGGGGCACCACCTAGCTGAGACATGCCGATCTCGTCCTGCGGCCAATCTTCTCACTCGTCATCGTCGTCATCGTCGTCCTCGATTGCAGGGTCCTTCATAGCGCTATAATGTGGTGGTGTACGCACTGCGGAAGTGGCACCTGTCATCGGCTGAGAAGAGCCGGCTGGCGTCCTCAAAGAGACTGAAGACGTACCACCCGACCGCGCTGAGAGTGGTGGTTCCTCATAAGGAGTGTCCATGCAGCTCAACTTTTGAACTAGCTTCCTGCAACTCTTCTTCACCTTATGCATAAATAGTCGTTAAAGTTAGCGCATTTCACAAACGCATATACACTAAAGAAACAATTTCGGAACGGACTAGTTTATGTTTACCTCCACAAAAGCCTCGAGAACGCCTTGACCCTGCCCTCTAGACTCGTGAAGCCGGTACACTGCTTCATTGGACAGCCTCGACAATTGTGTCGCCTGGGTTCAGAAACCTGGTGCTGTGTCAGGACGTCGAGACCGTCCGTGTACTCTCTGTACTTGCGCCTCGCATTCTCTCTAACTAACTCTGATTCCGTCCAGATAAACAGAGCTGTAGGGAGTGTATTCTGCCCGTTCTATTGCTACATTGAACACGATAATGAATTAGCCATTAATAAACTCATCATATGTAACCATATCGAAGAATATAATGAACCCAAGTACTTACTGGTAAACCCATATTAAGGGGCCTTTCAACGGGCCATCGTTCCCAACACAAAACCTGGATTAGGTACGAGCAACCCCCAAGGTTCGTATACCCTGAGGTGCGACGATAGCAACGCAGCATAATTTGATCGATCGTCCATGCTAGGACAAGATCGCCTTGCCTTGTGTACGCCGCTATGTTCTCCCACGGCTGGCGTAGTATGTCGAGGAAGATCCAGCTGATGGTGTTGCCCGAGGCGTCTGGAAAGAGAAAAGCACCAAGAAAGTGCGAGCCACATTCGAGCGAACCTGTCGATCTGAGCCTCCTCAGCCTGTGGGTCCAAGTAATCAAAGCGCTCCGTGATCTAGAACGACGAAACACCAGAAGTTTTCCTGAAATTTACCAAAGAAAATGAGACCCGATGGCTGCAGGAAACCGATGCAAATATTAAATAGGCTTGAATTTCTCACTTATTTTTCTTGGAAGCCTCGTCATCCGGTGGAAGAAAGCCAGTAAACTGAGCCACCAGCTCCCTCCAGTGATCGTTGTCAACTATCCCTGTCACTGAAAGTCCCCCCCAACCGAAGGCCTAAAATAGCCTTCACGTCCTGCAACGTCAAGGTCATCTCGCCATAAGATAGGTGGAACGTGTGGTTCTCAGGCCTTCACCTATTATAAGAATAAAATAGAATGACTGTTAATTGCCTTAAATTTATTACAAGAAAATTTACATACAAAGAATGCACTCGCACCTGTCTACAGCTGCAGTAAGTAGTGCTGGGTCAAGGGACGGAAGACCGTGGTTGACAACACGGACAAGCTTGAGGAAGCCGGCACGCCGTATGTACGGCGCGTAACGCTCGTCCCACTGGTGCGCCCTGGTATGCGTGCGGGGCCTCAAAGGAGGCAAGGCCACCTCTGCGTTGTTGTCACTCAAGATGTGTGCTCGGTGCTGGTCGTCGTACTCCACCTCAAGAATGGGGTACAACGGGTGCTGCGTGGGATGGGCCATCCTGTTACAAATTGATAAACAAAGCGCTAGAGTACTCAAATTAACAAAATTCAAATTAACATTATATAACATTGCAAAGTAAAATATTTACTCTAACCCAAATTAAATCGGCACAAGGCTAGGATAAACAAGCGCGCAAAAGAGGTAAAGCCCGATTGGCATGTGCTAGGGACGTGGATAGAGGCTAGAGATCGTAGTACGACAAAGCCAACCAAGAAGCGAGGGAGCCAGTTACGCTCAGCGTTATGGCCACGGCGGGATGAACCCACGATCGAAACGTTCGAATGGAATACGATCCCTCGACCGGCTCGCTACAATCCCTAACTAAATAACTAACTATAAACTAAATAATAACCGGATCTAGCAGTGACAACCGCATCGCTACAATCCCTAACTAAATAAATAACTACAAGCTAAATAATAAATACCTAATCAATCACTAGACCCAAAATCATAACCTAAAACCTAAAAACTACATACGTATATCACAAACTAATTATCCTAAAACAATAATAATCATAATAACATTAAACCGAGAGGAAGGTACCTAGAAGGCAGGCGGCCTTGACGGCAGGGGTTTAATGTGGCTGCCGGCGTGGTGTCGCGAGGGCGTGTGGCGAGGCAAGGCGGCAGGAGTGGCGGGCGCGCCAGCGAGGTCACGGGCGAGCGCTGGCGTATGCGTGGCATGGCGATGGCGATGGGCGATGGCGCGTAGCGCGGTAGCCTGGCGGGCGGGCGGGCGAGGTGCGTCTTGGCCGGGGGCTCGCCATGAGGTTTTATTTGGCCCAGACGTGCCATGACCCCTGGCGCGGCATTGCCGCGCCAAGATCGCTGGCGCGGCAGGCCCTGCCCCGTCAGCGGTCAGCGCTCCTGGTCGCCGCCGCGCCAGGGAAATAGGCGCGGCCAAAAGTGTTAGTTTTTAAAAAAAATCGGAAGTGTTAGATTTAAAATTAGTTTTCAAAAAGTGTTAAAATTTAAAAAAAATTCTGTCGGCACAGCTGTGTTCAGTGAGCTCCTGAGCATGTCGCAGGAGGAGTTTGGGTTTGCCGGCGACGATGGCAGGATCACGTTGCCCTGTGACGCCGCGGTGATAGAGTACGTGATGTGTTTGCTTAGGCGAGACGCCTCTGAAGAGGTTGTGCGAGCGTTCTTGAGCTCCATCTCCATGGTCAGACCTTGCCACCACAGCGTTAGTGGCATGATGCGATGGATGCGCCAATCAACTATCTGTGTATAGCTATGATTAGCTCATGATGTATATAATATTAGATTCATTTAGCCGGATGTAATATTCTGGAATGACAGAAAATCGCACGAAAAGGTTCTTCATTTTCTGAAGTCTGAACACGCCTCGTGGCATGAATTTGGAAACGTTTCTCGTTGCATGAATGACTTGATAGAAAGTACTAGAAAGAAGAGGAAGCCATGGCCTGAAAGTTCGCGGACGCGCGAGATGCGGTTGGAGGACGCAACGGCAGCGGCCGACAGGCTCCCGGGACGGTAGGAGCCGACGTCGGCGGCGGCGGACGAAGGAGAGGGCGTCAGATTATCTTTGTATTGCGGCCCAGGTCAAGAAAGGCATATCAGTTTTGGGCCTTTTGGTCTTGGGTCTTTCCTGGTGGGACCCACCTACCAGCCTGTATTACCGTTTCGGCCCCTCTGTTAGGTCATCCTTCACTGCCGGCGGCGGCGGCGCGGAAGCCTGCCGAGCGCCGTTGAGTCCGCCGTGCGCCCCTCGGAGCTTTCCGGTGGCTGTGGCGGCTGTCGGTTTGGGATGGCAGGGTGGCGGCTGCCCACGAGTGCGCCGCTCGGCCGGCAGGCAGCTCGTCGGCTCCGGTGAGAACACCAAACCGAATAGGTGCCCCAGTCGTATAGGAGGCAGAAAATCAGCCAAATTTGCTCAGATCAGTTCATATATAAGTGATTTGGAGATACATTGGTTGAGCTTGCTCAAAACAATCATTTCTGAAGAATTATTTGGGATCACACTATTTGTTTCCTTTTTGAGAGAATGAAACACTGACGTGATGGTGATTAGCAGAAAGGCAGCATCAATGTCTCACTTGGGACATGGCAGGATGGTCCAAGAGCCATGAGGTGAGCAGATGCGTGGTTGTTGTTTACTCTGTACTTACTGTTGCATTTGCATGATAGGTATTGGTGAGCAGTGTTTTAATTGTTGTAAATCATGCAACTTGGTCCACAGTTCCATACGTCAATTTCCACTAATTGTCTGCATGATTTCTAGCATTGCATGTGACATCCAATTTCGTGGTATCTGTTTGCAGCCCTAGTCGGCCTACCTTTTTTTTTTTTTTTTTTTTTTTGCCATGGCAGTGTTTGCTGGAAAGTTCAGGTCCCGGTCATGCATCTGTCGAGGCTGCTTGGCTCTCACGGTCTCACCCTACTGCTAAAGTAATGTAAATTGCCATGCAAGCCTGTATTCTAGTACTATTCTGTAATTCTGTTGCCAGGGTGTTCAGTGTTCAATTGGATTTAGGGGACAACTTTGTAAGCACAATAAATCTGAAACCAGTAAGTCTTGGGCTTTGGCTATCACTTTTGCAAGCCTGAATTCCACAATTTCATGTTTGAATAAACACCATGCACTGTCTTTTCTCTAGTGCTTAACTCCCTTGTCCGTTTATGATTTCACCTGGCCATGATTTAGCTCAGGAAGAATGGAAGTGCGTGGCAGCTGTTGCATTGTGCAATATGCAGTGAACTTTTGCAGCTCAAGCCTTAAGATTTTGCTGAAGAAACCTACTGCCTCGTAATTGAAGTCCTAATATTTAATTAACCATTTATCAGTACAACAAAGTATACTTACAAAGAACAAGAATAATGACTCTAACATGCTAGTTTGCATCTTCCTTAATTTCTTGAAGGATCAAAAGGCTCCTTAGAGAAGTTTTGTTTTCCTACAACCTATACTGAACCACTTTAGATTCACTTAGGAGCTGCAAACAACAACCTGATGGCTAACTCCAACAGATGGTGCAATACAGCTTGCATAGTGGCATGGCATGGTGCTCAGGAATGCCTTCTCTACCTCTGCTGAGGAGCCTCCCCAGAGGACACACATGGCATACTCCATGACTGCAGCATCACAAGGAAGCGTGATCCGTTCATTGCCCATGAAGCCAAACTCCTCCTGGGACATCCGCAGGAGCCCTGAGAAGACCAATGTGCTAAAGTATGCTAATGGCACCTCAAACCGCCTCCCATCTGAAGTGTACATCATGCAGTGCCCCTTGACTGCCACAGAGGCGCAGGTGAACCGCTTTCTCCCCAGCGCTGCCACCATCTGCCACTTCTTCACCAACTGAGCAGTCCTCTTGGCGCAAATCATGGTTACTTGAAGTAACTTACTCTTCCTTTACTCTTCAAAAAAACTTACTCTTCCTTTCTTAGGTTTGCAATACTTGGTTTGTGAAGCTGCAATTGATGGTGTTTGGATGCTGCTTGATCGTGAATATATAGCCGAGCTGCTGAGGAAAAGAGCAAGTCATCCAGTCTAGTAGGACGATTGGCAGGAGACAAGGTTGGATCAGATTCTGATGGGATCAAATGTTTGGTGTATGCCGGAACCAGTCGTAGTGTGCTTTCGGTCCTTGGATTGGATACAACGTGTTGCAGCCATGCTGAGCGGTGTATAGCAGAGAAGAGGAACGAGGACCCCATGTTAATTGGGGTCAACGTGAAGTTTGAGGGCCAAGGTTGGTTCGGATAGCTGTAGTGCAATTCAGAGTTTGGCAGAGCAAATGCCTTTCTTGGAGGGATTCTTTTTGGTTCTGTGTCCATGACTGGAAACCCAAGGTTCGTCAGGTTGCTATCGTCTAAAGATGATTTGATTTTGAGGATCCTATTTTAGTAATATGCTATAGTGCCTTGCAGGGGAACTCCACTGACTGAGATTGGAATCAGTTGGAGTATCACATGTTTTTTTTTTAAAGATCCGGAACATTCCGGCTTTGATTAATAATAAGAAGGCAGCAAGAGCAACAGTTTACATGCGCGAGTTGCGCTCCCCAACACAGCCTAGGCTGCATAGGGCCAAGGAAACAAGAAAAAGATTACTCAGTACCTAAATGTACAACCGCTGGTGGCTCAGGTGCCAACCTTCGAGCTAAGGACCAGCAATGGGCTGTGTCTTTAATCTCATCAAATACTCCTATTGCTGATTTCCTCTGATCCCTGAAAATGACAGCGTTTCTTTGGTTCCATAGGCACCAGAGTGTTAGGATTGACATCGTGTGGCCCTTTTTGTCGCCACTAGTCGTTGTCTGAGCGAACCAATCCTCAATGTCCTCTTGGTATTCCCATCCTGATGGTCTCAATTTTTCACACAAGCTCCAATCAGCCACCAAGTTCCAGACAGACCGGGCGAAGGGGGCATTCAAAAAAGAGATGCTGGACAGTCTCCAGATTCCTTATACACAGGGCGCAAAAGTAGTTGTTCTCCCAACCACGTTGCTGTAGGCGCGCCGCAGTCCACAGCTTGTCTTGTAATAGTAGCCAGAGGAAGAATTTGCATTTGGGTGGAGCCCATACTTCCCAGATCAGTGATGGGAAAGAGGAGAGTGTGTGTCCAGCAAATTGTATAGCATAGGCTGACCTGGTAGAGAATTGACCTGAGCTTTCTAGATTCCAAATTATGCAGTCTTCTTCGTCATCTTGGAGGTTCAGGTTGGCCGCTTCAATTTCTCTCCAAAGTTTAAAAAACTCATCCAGAAGGTTGTGGTTCAGGTTGTGTGCAATGTCTGCGATCCATCTTCCATTAGTGGTTGCTTCTCTTACTGAACGTTTCTTCCTTCTGTTGTGTTTGTAAAGCAGCGGGCATAGAGAGAATGGTGCCTGTCCATTTAACCAGCTACTACGCCAAAAGGATGCTTTACGGCCATTCCTAACCGTCACTGTCGTCGCCGCACTGAAGAGCGCCAAATCCATCAAATCAATAGGCACCTCGGTTCCAATCCATGGGCGCTCCGGGTTTGTCCATTGGAACCATAGCCACCGCAGACGAAGGGCTCGACTGAACCTTTCTAGCTCGATCACACCCAGCCCGCAGACGATGGGTTGAGAGGTGTAGGCTCCTCGGTGAAGGCCGACATGAGAAGGCCTCCCAGGGAAGGTTGGTGGAAGAAGGCTCCCGGAGAAGGCCGGCTGGAGAAGGCTCCCGGTGAAGGCCCGCGGTTGGAGAAGGCTCCCGGCTGAGGCCGGCGGGAGAAGGCTCCCGGCGAAGGCCCGGCCGGATACAAAGGCCCGACTGTTGAAGGCTCTCGGCGGAGGCCGACGGGAGAAGGCTCCTAGCGGAGGCCGGCAGGAGAAGGCTCCCAGAGAAGGCCGACGGGAGAAGGCTCCTGGTGAAGACCCGGTCGGAGAAGGCTCCCGACGAAGACCCGGACGGAGAAGGCTCCCGGAGAAGACTCCAACATGCAAGAGGGGAGAGTGAGGCGGCGACTATGGTTAGCGAAAATTGAGTCAAAGGGGAGAGAGCCCCCCTTGCCCTCATGTTCTTGGCATTATATAGGCAAGCGGCAATTTGCAGGAGACCCCTCGGTGGGGGTGGGTTTTACATGCCACTCTAATGCCGCTAGTTGGGCCTCTTCTAGGTGACTTGGCCCATATGATTGTGGCATGTCCCAACAGTAGCCTCTCATCTACTAGGTTATGGACGGTACTACATGACCTAGTAGATGCTCATACTAGAAGAGGCACAATTCAACTCGAACCTTGGTTGCAAGGACTGCCCTTCGCAAACCACACATGCACGCCTCACTAAAAACTCCACCCCAAAAACCCTATGGGAAAAAGGGCATGGAGAAAAGAGTACGTGCACGACTTTAACCTATACATGTTCTAATTCCTAAGGTGTCTACCTCTAAATGCCTTATTCTTCCGAATGTCTTCACCTTTGGGCTTCGGTTTCTTTCTTCACTTCTATGACATGGTTCGTTGGCTTTACCTAGCGTGCAGGCCTTCAGCTTCAAGGCCTTCTCCTCCATTATATTCTCAACGCACAGATCTATGGCTCGGAGGTCTTCTTGGCACTGAGGTCTTTATCTTCAAGCCTTGTCGATGCCCAGGTCTTCATCTTCAAGGCCTTCCCGGCGTGGAGGTCTTCTCCTCGAGCCTTCTCAGCAAGGAGGTCTTCATCTTTGAGGCCTTCTCGGCGTAGAGGTCTTCATCTTCAAGCCTTCTCATGATCACTGGGCAAAAAGACTTCGTGATCCGGAGTTGCTGGTCCTCCGACATGCTCCCCTAGCCCCTCTTGGCCAATGCTCGTGACCAAATCCTCCGTCTTCCTTGGTGTAGTGTAGTCGATGTAGTCGTAGTAGTGGAAGTAGATGTTTGGGCTAGATTTGCCGATGAGCCCCCTTGAGTCAAAGTGGTTGACGAAGGTGTGGTAGGCCTTGGTGTCGAAGGAGTTGATGAAGCCCCTTGATCTTGGCAATGATGATAAGTCATTGTGAGCATTGATGCTAGAGATGCTAACGAAGGCTCTGGAGCCGTTGTGGTAGGTGAAGATGATGGTGAAGCCCCTCCTGCCGAGGACCCTCCTGTAAAGGTGCTTGGTGGAGTAGATATTGTTGTTGACCATAAAGGTGTTGGTGAAGCCCCCCTCGTGACAATGTATTGGCGGAGGAGAGTCATCCTAGTTTGCCATGACTATTTGCGAAGACCCTCCTGCAAAGGTGTTTGGCAGAGGCGAGGTTGGTGTAGATGCCGAAGGTGATGGCGAAGGCCCTCCTGCGAAGTTGTTTGGCGAAGGCCCTCCTGAAAAAGGTGTTTTGGCGGAGGCGATGTTGGTGAAGTCACTAAAGATGGTGGCGAAGCCCGTCATGCCGAAGGCGATGCCAATGTAGGCGCCGACGCTGCGTGCGAAGGCCGAAGAAGTCATGTGAAAATGCACCTAAGTTGATCTCCTGCATTTTTTAGGGACTTAAGTTGGGCGTTATAGCTTCGTCAAATATCGACTTGCTTGCAAGTCTTTCGACACTCAGAAAGACACTGTTTTTGTACTTGCTGCAAAAGATGGTTAGTTATTTCATATAATATACAAGGGGTGAAGTTTTTGAAGGTTTTGAGAGAGCAAAGGTCCTAATGCCTGCTGCAGACAGGTCTTTGTCGGGTAAAGCTTTTTTAAGCTTTTGGGAGTGACGGCCTCGATGCTTGATCATGGACAGGTCTTTGACGGGTTATCGCGGTGCAATGCATTTATGTAATGCATGTATGTATGTGATGATGTAAGTAAGTGCATTTGCATGAAAATATTAAAAGAGGTAAACATATTATACACCCTGCAAAAATGATGGTTATGCTTGAACAAAAGATAAGCTCTGCATATAAGAAATAATACCCTTGAATGAGAGGGTTGTAGTTTTAGATGGCTAGCGAAGGCTGCCATTCAAGAGCCTGCAAGGTTATAGAGAACATAAAAAGGATCAGTTTCCTACGAAGGTTAGCTCAGATAAAATTTGGTTAATGGATATTATAAAAACCTAAAAAAATTAAACAATATAACCTGCAAAAAGAGAAAAACATGTTGGTGTTTGTGGGATCGAAGGATGGGTATCTGTCGAAAGTCGATTTCTATTAGAGACCGCTGACTAGAAGGCTGCTGACATACGAAAGCTGCTGAATGACGAAGGCTGTCAACTGACTGAGACTGCTAAATAACGAAGGCTGCTGAATGACGAAGGCCAATGACTGACGAAGGCTGCTGACCGACGAAGGCTGCTAGTTAACGAAGGCCAATGACTGACGAAAGTTGCTGACAGACGAAGGCTGCTAGCTAACGAAGACCAATGACTAGCGAAGGTCTGTGACTAAGGACACCCAATGATAAATGAAGGTCACTAACTGATGAGTGCCGATGACACGACGAATGCTATAGACTAATGATACCACGTGATAGATGAAGGCCACTGATTGGTGAAGGCAACTGACTGGCGAAGGCTGTTGACTATCGAAGGCTGATAATTGACGAAGGCTACTGAGAACCAATGATAGATGAGGGCCACTGACAAAATGATGAAAGCCAATAACTGACGAAGGCTAATAACCAATGATTGCTAATTATAGATGAAGGTCACTGACTATTGAAGACCATGACTGACGAAGGCTGTTAACTGTCGAAGGCCACTGATAATAAAGGATCACTGAAGTATCTGACGAAGGTTGAATATTCCATGAGAACCGCTAATTGATGGAGGGTACTGATTGATGCAAACTCAAGAACTAGAGAGATATTTGACGAAGGCTGAACAATTAATGAGAACCGCTGGCTGATAGAGAGTACTGACTGATTTGGCTTGGGAAGGTGAAAGCGTGCATATAACGATGAAA